ATTTTACTCATATTATCAGCTTAGGAAAAACAAGTTGTATCCGGAAAGGTAATTTTCAATTTTTTTTTTTAACATGAGAAAATTTGGAAAAAGAAAATTCATCTTACAAAGATTGGAACCAAGGTTTAAACCTTAATAAATCTACACTTTATCCAACGCAGCTAATGCTGCGAGTGCGAAGCCTAGAAGGTAATTGAATTGAGAAAAAGGACTATAATTGAATCCTGCTAGGTGGCAAAGGATTTTATGAAATGAAAGATAATATAAGATGAAAAACCTAATCTACTTATATTTATAGATAGTTTTCGCTAACCATATATAGGACTCAAATGTTCAAACAGCTCCCAAAAACAAACTTTGAATATCAATGATAATACAAATAATCATTATAAAACTTTTTAATTTACATCCTGAAGATAAACACAGAAGTAAAACTTATAGGAAATCTAACTAGTAACATATGGTAGCATTGATGTGTGTGTCAATCTAGACTACCAAGTAAAATTAGAGCTTTCTTGATCATGAAAGAAAAATTAATTGACATTCCAAAATAACTCCTGAGAATCAAAATGGAGATGCATTAACAACATTTGTGTATACACTACGAATCAGAAAGAAACAAAATTATGAAAAAGTGAGCTCAATGTTGATGGGAAGTATTGTTGTAACTCAAGAAGTGGGGTTTAATATCCATGTGTATAATGGGGTGGGGTCGGGAAGGGAAGATTGGCATATACCAGCTTGCACTGACTGACCTTATCCTTCCAAAGTTTCATACAGCAGGGAAGAATATCAATACAAGATCATAATAAAGGATATACACATGCCTTTAGGCCCTTCACGCATGTGAGAGTGCAGCATTGTGAATGAGTACCCTCAAATGTCAATAAGATATTGGAAACCCAAACCTCAAAGATGGATGCCATTAACGGACGACAGCAGCACCCATCCTAGGTTATTTAATCCCATTTCCTCTTTCATCAGAAACTTATGAAAACTCAATCCTGGAGGGGAGAGGACAGAGGTTAAAAAATGAGGAACAACCTTAAGTGGAGAAATGTATGCTGATTGTGTAGTATATTATGAATATTGATACGGGAAACCTAAATCACCATTCCAATGTTCTAATCATGCAATAATGACAACTGACAACCAACCGCAATTATGAAGAAAATTTTGAGAGTTATTATATGAACTTGCTTCCCACACTTTTAAAGAGGCTTCATTTGTTCACCAGTAAAAACTTAATAGCAGGCAGCATTGACAAAACATTGCTAGATATAAATCATATACCTTCAATGATTATTGTCATTAACTCAACGATCCAAAGGCATGAGGAGGCCAAACCTAAATAATAAAAGTTAGAAAAATGCTTCAAGATAACTTTACAAAGTAAATTGAATCGAAAAAGAAAAAAGAAAACAATTATTAATATAAACAATTAGTGATCTTGTAACCAGTTATCATTTGAGGAGTAGACAAGTCAAATATACTAATATACATGTTTGTGAGTCATGTAATAAATAAAGATGGATAATTTGAAAAGTATACAAGGATAAAGGAAATGTTTAGTTGTCTCTATGTGCATATGTCTTGTATGTATAAACTAGTATTATTCTTTACAGCCAAACAACTTACCCTAGAGTTTAATGATGGATTACAATCATTGCACCAGATTTAATTGATCAAAAGAGAATAAAGACAATGAGATAATATGATAGGTGAAACTAGAGAGAAATGGAAGATAAAACAAGTGCTATTTCTAGAACTAGATTTCTATTTTTTTTTTTTCTTATTTATAATTTGGGATAAAAAACAATCTTGATAAATATTGCAACTCCACAATGCTTGAAATAGAAGTTAAGCACTAATCCTACCATATGAATTCTGTTTCTGTCCCATTAGCAATCATAATTTCTTTACCTTGCCTTTGGATATAATTTTTTGGGGGAAATTTCACATCAGGAAAAAAATCAAAAACCATTTCTAAGATACCATTTTGTGGCCATCACTACAATAGTAGAGAATATACTTCTCAACCAAAGAAAACAGGCCTGCAGGTAAAGAGTCATTACTTACCCTAAAAAATACTTTTCCTTGAATTAGACCATAAGGAAGAGGCCCAAAATGCCTTGAATCACGGGATTGATACATGTTATCCCCTTGAATCCAAATATGTCCCTTCGGGACCTGTCAATATGAACCCAAATTTCAGAACAGAGGATATAAAACTCTAGCCCATGAAGACAGTAATATCACTAAAGAACTAAGACATTGTCTGAATATGGATTACTGTCAGAGAGAAATGATAGGGAAGCAGAAGAGATGCTGGAAATGTAAAGTTGAAAAGTTAAGAAGAAAATGATTTTCAAACAAAAATAAGAATGATAAAGACCTCCCAAGAAATTTGGAATTAAAGCTTTGGTTGTCAAACACTGCCAGTCCTAACACGCCACAAGCTATCGGCTTTAAATGTTAAACTTCCTAAATTGCATACAATGTGGTAACTTAAAGATGTCTAAAAGCCAAAATAACAATCCTAATCCAAACAACCATAAATTCTAGTCGATAAGACTTCAGAAATTTCACAAATCATGGTGATTGAAACACGGCAATATGGAAGAAACCCAATACCCTTTGGCAGAAAACCTCAAAGATTTTAAAAAATAACCATCCTTTAACCTCAAAAATTTACACTCTTTTCTAAATTTAAAGTTCTAAGAAACAAAAGCAGAATTTCACTTTATAATTATAGAGATAAATTGAGTCTGAGGAAATCTAAATCTCAACATACTAAAGAAAAGGGGCAAAAAAAAAAAAACGGGAGATACCTCGCGAGAAATCGTGTAGTCACCGAGATGGGGGTCGGCAAAGAACGTGACTGTATCTCCTTCCATACCCACTATGCGCTTGGTCAAGATCTTGTTAGGATCGATTGGTGAACGAACTAGCACCAAGTCCCCACGCCCGACCTTCCCCAGTCTCTGCGATATGTGTTCGGTGAGTACCACGTCGCCGGCAAAGTTCAAGGTCGGAAGCATGCTAGCCCCTTGTACCTACACCCATACAAGCAATTCAGAGGAGTTCACTACAAGAGGAGGAGGAGAAAAAGGGGTGTTGAGATTCCGATAGGGTTACGGACGACGGTGGAGGATAAGAGGTAGGAGTCGGTGACGTGAATCCAGCAGAGGAATTTGGCGACCGTGGAGGCTCGCTCGAGTACTTCCTTGGCTGCGCTTATCCACTGTCTCATCTCTCTGCTCAGTTTGCGAAGGAACTGCAGAGTGCGAACTGTCAGCGGTCAACGGGTAACCGTTCTCGACGGCGTTAATCGTCATTAAGCTTGGGGTTTTTGGATAAACTCCCTACTTAGCCCTGAACTAATTTTTCTTAGAACATTTTTACCCATGGATTTATTTTTTAAGAAATATGGCCCCAACTACGCTACCCTGCTTAAGTGGTGATTTGTTTTTTATTTCAAGGTTTTACAAAAGAAAAATGCCTTATGTCTAGGGATAGTAGTTTTTCTCGATCCTCCTGGGGTTTCATAGAAATCCCTGTTATAAGGGCAGGACAAGGAGAAATATTTCTCTTTGTGGGGCAAGGATAGGGGTGTTTTTCCCTACGAAGTTAGATGAGAATTTTTTCTGCCTCATTGGGTCCCCACAAAAAATTAAAAAAGATATATATTAATTTTATTTTAAATATAATTCAACTCAATATATCAATATATTTTAAACACAACTTCATTATTCATGTTAAATTGATATTTATTTATGTTTAAACAATTTATATTTAATTTTATCACTTGTCCATTAATTTTGTTGATTACAACTAATTGTATGTTTACAGTATGAAGAGGTAGAATCTAGATGTTATTATTGTTGCACAAGGAATAAGTCCATTAGTTTAATTATTTATGTTGGATTTATCTTGGTTTATATTTGGACAATTTGTATTTGATTTTATGTTTGGAAAATTTTAATTAATTGCGTTTAAACTTTTAAAATTTTATTCATTGCAATTGAATATTAGTTAATTAAAATGAACATTTTATATTTTAGTATAAATTGATAGGGAATAGGGAATGAGGATGGAAGATAAAATCTACCTCCCATCAAAAATCTTTGCAGGGATTCTCATCCCCATCATTCATGAGGATGAAAACGAGGAGGGACTCCTCGGTCCCATGGGATCCTTGCTACCACAAGGAGAAGGACAAGAGGGATTCCCTAATCCTGTAGGACCTCGTTGACATCCTAACCTATGTCACCCCATTTATAAGCCTATCACTTAAATTCAAGAATTTTTTTTCATTAGAAACAAGATTATTATGGAGCTATTTAAGTCTTAAGTTTAATTTATCATGTAATATTGTAGAAATTTTGACATTGAAAAGTCTAATGAATCTTTACAATTCTTCTGAGTTGGCTGAGGTTTTTGGCATACGGAGGCGAGTCTGGCGTGCCCCGAGGGATAGCCTTAAGACTAATTCCGGCAGGTTTTGAAGCAGCACAATGGAGTTGGAAAACTATTTAGAGGACAAGAAATACTGCACCCACTTAGAGGTTGAAGTAGAAAGGGCTGAATGCTTCTACAGAAATCTAATTTCTTTGTTTGGATCAACTAAAATCTTCAAGTGAGATTGAGAATCTGGCTTGGCAATGCATGAAGTTCTTTTAATTTTTTTATTTAATTTTTTTCTTTAAGTATAACAAGGTAGCACAACTGTGTCTCAACTAGTTCAATAAGTACCTGCAAATCGGCAAAATATGGAAAGAAAGAATAAATATCTTAGTTATTGATGACCTTGAAAACTTTAGTGTACAAGAATTGGTTGAGACTTATTTTTCTTAAGAACAATTGGAGGCAGATGTATAATGGACTAAAGAGCAGCTCAAGTCAAAGCTCTATGCCTTCAATGACTATACAACCAAGAGTTAAGCAGGAACTGCTAACATGGAGGTTTCAACTTCAAGCCTTCTTTTCTGTGGCAGTTTATTTGAGTAATAATTTTCCTAGCAAGTTGTAGCTTCTACTCTTTATCTGACTAATCAATTCTCTCAAGATTAAAGATTACCATATCCTCAAGAGCCAACCGATAGTTGCTCTGTGGAAGACATTGGAGATTCTGAACTGCAAGATCGGCCTTTTCTTTTGCTAATTCTTGTGCTCGTTCAATTCCACCACATTTCTTAACCAATTCAATTGCTTCCTCAAGGGAACCAGTTTCACAGAATTCAGATTCAATGATTTCCTTTAGTTTAGGCTCTTTCTCTAGAGCAAAAATTACTGGTGCAGTCAGGTTGCCTTTCACCAAGTCACTTCCAGCTGGCTTTCCCAGCTGCTCTGCTGACTGTGTAAAATCCAATATGTCGTCAACAACTTGAAAGGATAACCCAAGATTCTTACCATAGTCATACATTTGCTTAGCAATAAAAGGATCAACCCCACTAAAAATAGCAGCGCCCTTGGTACTAGCAGCAATTAAAGAGGCAGTTTTGTAGTAACTCTTTTGCAAATACTCCTGAAGCTCGACATCACAGTCAAATAAACTAGATGCCTGCTTTATCTCACCACTAGCAAAATCTTTAATAACCTGACACATTGTAAATAAGGTTTACAACATAGAAGTGACAAGAATATTGCTGGCCAAAAAGAAAGTGAAAGGGGAAACATCCAGTGTAAAAATTCAACCAGAATGGAAAATTTTTTTTTCAAACATATATATATAAATAGGTAACACCTACCTGGCTGATAAGCTTAATGACCTCAAGATTTTCAAGATTGGCAAGATACCATGATGACTGAGCAAACATGAAATCACCAGCCAATACAGCTACTCTTGTTCCATACAGTTGGTGAACAGTTTCTTTACCTGCAGATAGGTGCAGGCAAATCTCAAATAAAAGGAAGAGTCTTCCAAGGGACATAAATCTAATGGAGAATAAAGAATCTAAGTCAAATAATCTTGCAACTGTTGAGCCAGATAACATAGAAAAACTATTACAGTTATCATTCCTATAATTCAAAACTGAGTTTTTAGTTTCCACCATGATTAATCCCAAATATAAAAACAGATAACTTCCATTGACATTGATCCCCTCCAGTCACCAAGCAAAGTTTTCAGTCGATCTATTTCCACCATGATAATCCAAATAATAAAACACCTAATTCCCCTTTTTTAATATGCACCGACATTTACCATCTTCCAGTCACCAAAGAAAGTTACATGTCTATCCAGTGTACACCTAAATGTTTCATAAGCATGTTGTCATTCCACAACTGTGGTTTTATAACTGCGACGGGAAACAAACTCTTCAATCAATTTTAGCCAAACTCTCTGCATTCGTATAGAAACCACTACATAAGCATTCTCAGTGCTAGATATACCCAAAAACATTCCACCTAAAAACCTATTGATTAGAGGATCCAAATATGATCCATTTTAGTTACAGTCAGCTAAATGCTCCCTTTCCTATTAAAAAATGTCTAGACCATAAATTTAAATGCAGTTTTACACTGGATGCAGAATCTTAATGATAAACCATAAAAGAGTTACCAAATGCTTTGGAGTTCCAGGCCTAGCACATATTCCTAACAAACATTTGGTATAAGAAATTTGCCATCTATCCTTTATCCTTTTGAGTAGCTTGAACAAAGTTTCATAATCCTTGTATAAAGTTCCAAACACAAAATAAATGTTAAAATTAATACAAATTTAACTGTCTGAACTCTAAAGGCACTCCAAATCAATCCAACTGCAAAATGGTTTTTTGGCGGAAATAGCATGCAAATATGCTCTTTGGGTAGTTGAACATAGATTAGCATATCATAAAGTAATTTTGAAATGGTAGAAGCTGACCTCTTCGCATGTCACTTTCATCTAAAACATCATCATGTATCAGACTAGCAGTATGAATCATCTCAATGATCTCAGCCAAACGCCGGTGTTTTGTGGTTAGGTCCCTGGAAAAAAGGGAATAACGGAAAAAGAAAACAGTATAGCATGAGATTCAATGTTAAGTAAAAATAAAATAGCTTAATTTTCTGAAGAAAGAGATTGAAAATTACTTCATCCCAGCTAACTCTGCTGTGGCTCTAGACACGAGGAACACCAAGGCTGGTCTCATTCTCTTGCCCCCAGCACCAAAGATCTGCTCAGCTGCAGACATTAGAAGTGGGTTTTCTGCACCAACAATCTAGAAAAGCATCATCATCAGATGCAACAACAAACAATCAAATCTAGAAATAAAACTAAACAATTCACATTCAGATTTACTGCAGTGGCTCTTGATACTGACTCATGGGTAAATATAATGCGTGGATGTAGGAACTTTAGACACAAAGGCACTAGCACTACACTTGCATAAAGCTACTCTACAAACACTTCCGAGCAGATAAGTCCTTAGCTAATGTTTGCAGGTGTTAGATGCCAATAACAAGGCTTGGCCAGGGACAAGGCCACATTAAACTTGAAGAACTTGGTAAGCCAGCTATAATCACGCAACATCATCTCATAGAAACATATAAAATGGTTAAACAGATATATATAAGAATGAGGGTTACAATAGAAAAGGTTAAATGAACTAGTTCACTTAGAGTGTCAACTAAATAAATTATAGTATTACACAGAAGCATGGACTGATATAGACCTCATCAACCAGCAGTAAATAACCATCCACCATGGGATCTTTACTTCATTAGCAACCTCCCCCTCCTACCAACTCCTTCTATCATCATAACTGTCTATGGAGAGCTGTGACAGAGACTAGATACCACCCTATAACAGTGTAACTGGAAGTCATTATGGACAAGTCCAGTTTGATATCCAAGTCAACAAATTTCAGTTGGATATTTATGTTGACAAAGGCACCATGAGAAGAATGAACTACCTCAGGCATAATCAACCATCACATCATTAGCATCCCCATCTATTTTCTCCTCCCATGATAATGCTAACTGCCTTCCACAATTAGCCACCCTCAAGAGAACTGAATGCCTTAAACCTATTCATCATGCAATTTTCAATTACTATTCCCACTACCATGATCAGGTCCTTCTCTGTTGCTCTTCAATTCTGCTTCTTTCTATAAACATCCCTAACCAGTGAATCTTCCTCTTTCCTCAAAATAGAATTAATTATACATGCATAAGCATTCAGTATTTTTTACTCTAAACTAGAATGACCATTCCCTATAAGATAAAAACTGCAACAGATTAGAATTGCAATTGACAGGGAAAAAATATGCTCAGGTTTACAACATGAAAGCATTCCATGTCACATGATATATTCCACTATCCTCAACAATCAACACTAAACATAATCAGAAACATTCAAAATGAGTACTCACTGACTGTAGATTTTGGTTTAGAGTTTGGAGATCATCAGCCACCACTTCAAACAACTTTGACAGTGAAATGGTTCTTCTAGACTCATTCTTCAAATTCAACAATGCTGGAGGAACTTGACCAACTCCTGTATTGATTCCCAAGAAATCGGACCAAATCTATAAGTCCAAATATTTAACTAAAAAACGATAACAAAATATGATTCGAGAAATATTAAACACCATCAATAAAACTTGGCACCATCTTATATGAAATTATGGAAGAAAAAAAGAGAGTTAGAAGAAGAAAAAGAAAATGGAAGTTAAACACAGCTGACTGTTTAAAATGCTACCACATGGTATATAGTAGCACAATCCCTGATTTTTTATTTTTGAAATAATTGAAAAGCAAACCAAAATTATATTTTTGGATTTAAAGTAGAAAAAGAGATATGCAGTGAATCATACGGTCCACCTATATAAAGCATATTATGCTAAAGCAACTTCAACAATAAAAAACAAGAAAATACACTAAATAGTAAAGAACATGCTGAAGATGAAATTAGAATCATGCTCCGTATCAAAATGAATACCATTAAGAAGAGCCTCTGGAGTTTTTGTAGAAAACGCATGACACCTAGCTAAGTTCTGCCTCCAACAGACCAATCTCCTAGCTCTGCAACCCTTACTTCTAGAAATCGTCCTTGCACAGCTCTTCCCCGCACAACGGCCTATTGTGCCATTAGTAGCACAGCCGCAAGCAACAAAATCAAGCACACTCGTTCCAAAATCAAGATTGTGGCATGTCATTGACATCATTGTGAGTGAGATTCAGAAAACAAAACCTCCCCAAATTCACTCTTCAAAACACAAAACCTAGATAAAAACCAAATTTCAATTTCCCATCACCCAAACACCAACGATTAAAACAGCCCCTGGAATGAAGAAAACAGATAGAATTCACAACTGGGTGTTGGACAAAACAACTCAGGAAATAGTTGAATAGGGTCTGTAAGCGAAAGTTTCTTCCATTTTTTTTTCACCCAGAGAATGGAGGTTGTATTGGGTGGATGGAAACATCCCACATGGGACTCGTGTCTTGTCTGTTTCGCTTATCAGTTCAGAGTGAGGTGAGGCAGGAGATGTTTGGACCAAAAAAGTATTTTGATAGTCATGTTAGAAAAAAGGGACTGTTTTGTGAAAGCGAGGAAATATGAGGGTCATAGGAGACAGTTGGTGGTCAAATTAGAGCCAGGTAACCATATCTTGCAATTGGGTGATCATTATAGATCTGTTCTCTTGGACACGTGTGATTTTTCATGCTACATATTTTTTTAAAAGGAATTATTTTTTTTATATCAACTGTACAATGAAAAGAATTTTTTTTTATTTCATTTCATTTACATATTATACAGTTAAATTTATAATTTTTTATTTTTTATAAAAAAATTATTATTTTAAAAAAATTATTTTTGGTATATGCTATATAGTATTCCCAAACTCTATTTGATATTATGGTATTACTTCATCTATTACATAATATATCTGTCATTTGATTTTTTAATAATATTTTTGCATAGTATATAAAAAATAAATTAATTTAAAAATTAATTTTTAAATAAATAAAAATTTGTTTAAATAAAAATTTTATATATTATTTTTATATAAAATTTTAATCATATATCTTTTTATTTTTAATGATTGAAATTTATTTGTATTTATTAAAAATAATTATTTTTTATCTTAAAAATTATGATTTATCTTAATTATTGAAAGTTAAAATATAAATTATCAAAATTTTATATAAATACGATGTAAAAAATTTATATATAAATAAATCTTTTTTTTCTAGATGTAATTTTTATCGAGAAACTTCTTTTGATAAAAAAAAAAAGGGCATTTTTCTTTCATATACAATGTAGATGTATAATCTAAAATCATGTGGGAAAAAAAATGGAATGATGAAATCAAAAGGAGGGAGTAGTTTTTAGGGAGGAGTGGGGTATCTAAAATGTTATTAAAAGGGTATCGAATTACGAGTATTGGACAGGGGAGGGAGTTACCCCTAAACTTTTGAAAATAGTGAATATAGTCCTCTACATTCCATTTCTTAGGATTTTCTTTCTATTGTTTGAATTGCAAGTATCATTTTGAATATGGAGAAAATATTTAAAATATAAGTAAATGGTTTATGAAAAATACGGATCATGAACTTATTCATATTTGATTTATTAGTTATTAATGTTTTTTTTTTTTTTTGAACAATGAAAAATTTTTTCGAGGAAAGGGGAAAAGTGACTTGATATTAGAACCCAAGTCTTGATAGTCCTAAACACATCCTGCAATGAGGGTTCAGTAGTCCCTCAAGTACTGTATAGTTATTAATGTTTTTAAATATCTTTTTCTCATAAAAAAATATTATATTTATAATATCACATAATATTATAAATTTATAATATAATGTATTATTATAAAATTAATTATTTTTATTTAAAAGTTCACTTGTTATATTATATGCATTTACTTATTTATTATCATATTATAATTGTAAATTTTTAATATGGTATGATATTATAACTATAATAATATTATCATTTTTCCTTTAAATACTATACAAGCTTTAATTCTTCGTATTTCTTTCTATTTTCTTAATTAGTACTCTATATATTACCCAAAAAAATAATTATTATTCTATGTAATAACTTGACATTTTCTGTGGTACCACATTGTGTTATTTAAACACTATTTTAATAAAAAAAAATCAATATTTTGAAATTGCTATGTACCAAATGGCCCCCCAAAAAAACATATTGTACCAATTTCAATTAAAATTAAAGTCAATCACTCATGTTGCTTAACGACTACACTATTCTTTGAAAAGTAAAGTAATGGCGCAAATCCCCATTCCGAATTCGGGCACTCCCCTCCCCATTGGCTGTGGTTATAGCAGAAAATTTGTCCATGTGATTAACATTTTGATGACTAACAATAATCATGCTCCTCTCCATCCCCTATAATTTGCTTAGTTTAAGAAAAAAATTAAGTTAGCATTGAAATTATCAGCTGAAACTATTCAGCGAAGTTATTATTTTATGGAAAATTTTACTATTTAGCTAAGTACAAATTTTAAATCTCTCTTTTTAAGTGATCTAAAAAATTTTAAATTTAAATTACATGTAAATAAAATAAATTAAAAGATAATTTCTCATTTTATAACTCAAAATAAAAATTAAAATAAACGGAAAGAAATGGATATCTTTATTATACACCCATACGTATGCCACAAAATAAAAATTAAAATAAACGGAAAGAGATGGATATCTTTATTATACAGCCATACGTATGCCACAACCCAACCCCCCCCCCCCCAAAAAAAAAAAAAAGAGGAAAGAAAGAGGAAGGCGATGGTTAATTTGATAATCCCCTCCCTCATTTTTTTTTTGGGAAACTGCAAAATACCATAAATTTTTCTTTTACAACAAAAATATTTATTAAGAGTTAATAACTATTATAAATTAATAACAACAATCAAAATCAAATGAATTTTACTTACTATTTTTAAAATAGTGTGATCCATCCACATGCACCACACGAAGAGTTCACAAAATACTATTAACTTAAATACAGAAGTATTTAATTATTAATATTTAATAATATTAATTTATTAATTATTGTCTTTATAAAAAAAAAAAAAAACAACAACAGGAGTACACTATCAAATTATGGGCAATTCAACCCTAAAAAGTCGGTAATATAGGACTATTTAATAGGTAGGGGATTACAATCAAAAACAATAAAGTCTTCCATAATATTATATCATTATGTTTCATTTTCGCCAAAATGCTGCAGCCATGTTTGACCGACGGATCACGTTAGAGATCTTCACATGGGGACAAAGGAGGTCCCTGACTGGGATGATTTTCAACAGAAACCTTAGATAATAAATGACATGCAACACAAGAGCCGGTTTCAATCAGCAATTGAAAAAAATCCTCTACCTCAAGTTTGTTCGGTTTGGCTTGGACTCAATCAAGATGTTTGACTCTATTCTTCTTCTTCTTCTTTTATCATGAACAATTTTGAGGAAGACGGTTCAGAAACCAAAATCAAGAATCACTCCTTATCGTTAAGTTTTTTATTTTTTATTTTTTTATATATTTTTTTAAGATATTAATGAAAATTAAACTCTTAATTAAATGTACTAAAACACTTAAAATTTGAAAATAAACAACCTTTGCATCTAAAAACAGATTCTTCATCATCAACTATTGATTTAAGTTGAACTATGAATTTAAGGGTACCAATATTTTGGACCGTGAACTGTCAGGATACAAAGCCTGGTTCAATCTAACTTCAACTTTAAATTAAGTTAATCTTGTTACTTGCAAAAATTTACAGAGGTGAAGAGCGAAATGAAATTACTTGAGACTCAAACATTCACCCAAAGGGTGCCTACCAACTAAGGCACTTAGCAATTATGCCAGCTGCCTCGACACCATGGGGTACATAAAATCTACCAACTAATTTTGAAATTTACCGAAGCTAAGTTGACTAGACTTGTCGGTATCAAGGAAAAGAGAGCACAAAATTAACAAGTTACGGAGAAAGGGAATGATGAGTGTTAAAATAAAAACATTCCTGTTCTTCACAATCACCCAAATTCATTAAAGAGCTAAACATAGCATTAAGACAGATAAGTACCATTAGACTCATACTAAACTACTTATCTGCAGTACCAAATTTCATCTAAGCCAGCAACATCTATAAAGCTTACAAACTAGTTAAGGAAATTATTAACAACTAAATTAGGCCACCAGAGAAACTTAATCAGCCGCTACGCGTAGATGCAGTTGGCATAACCTGCAGAAGGACCAGAATCAATTGATTAGCATAATGCAATATGCATTCCCACTTGATACATCATTGAGCACAATGTTATGGAATGTACAACTCAAAGAAAGTCGTTGCACAGTTAGTTTAGCTATGGTTTGAACAATGAGGAAATTTAGTATCTCTACTGAAACCCTTACTTGGATCGGTCATGACAATGAGACCTGAACCCTTGAAGTCGCAGTTCCAGTGGTTCCTTCCTTTAGCTTGGTAGTAAATGTTCATGGCAATGGAAGCATGGTTGATGAGGTTATCCGGGAAGAAACAAGCACAACCCCTTTGCAGAATCCGGCAGTCCGCCTGAGAGCAGGCATAATTAACGTTTGCCAAAAGGGTTGCTTGGTCTGATGAAGGCTTGGCCACACACCAAGTTTTCTGCATTTCCATTTGAATTTAGCATTCAGCAATCAATAAGAATAATATATTAAGTATTTAAATCTAACTTTTTGACATATCTGAGTTTAAGGAATTTCATTTCATGTTACCTGTCCTTCCACCATGACAAAAATTCCTCCTACAAGAAGTAAATAGAGAACAGTGTTACAGGTTTTTACAGAGACTAGATAATCACAAACAGGTGATGTGGGATGTCAACATCAAATTTTAGCAATTAAGGAAAAAAAATGTTTATTCCACTGAAATTAACTCTTTTCATAGATGATGAAGGTAAAGTTTAGACATCCAAATCAAGATGAAACTCAAGAAAAATCTGGTAAATTAGAGAACATCAGCATAGTAATCACATGCCATGCAAAACAGTAAACTGATGATTGAGGAGAGGGTATGCATTAAGATCAGAGGAACCAACTATGAGTTAATTTCAACAAGAAGTTCAAAATTTGCAATTGACCTGTATATTCTTCATAAACCCAACTAAGATTAACTCTAAATCAGTGATTCAAGTAAAAACTAAGCAGGAACCAAAAATGGAATATTTGACTAAATTCCCAAAAAAAAGCCCAAAAGCAATAAATGCAAGACCAGCTTTTAGCATAAAAGAACTAAAACAGAGAAATATATACCTGAAGAGATGGACAGGAGAAGGAGAAAAAGAGGGAGAAGAAGTGCTTTAGTAGCCATTGCTGCAAACTCTCTACTTTTTCTGTGAGGAGACTGCTGTTGTTATGATGAGATGAAAGGACAATGATTTGTGGGTTAGGAGGAGAGGAAAGGAAAGGAGGAGCCTTTTAAAGAGGAAAAAGGCAAATCTAACGGCTACATTGAGTGGGGTGTGGAGCCGTTACGGAGCATGGAATTTCTAGTCTAGGGGAGAGGAAGCAAAAGGAAAGAGTTCACACGTGACGGCAGCTAACCTTTTTAATGCTGATTGCATTTTTCTCTGCACCAGTGTGTTCTTTGACTTCTGCTTTGCTATTGGTTTGGTTCCTGCTCAATTTCTGTTGTTATCTCTTGGTAGGCACGGGTGCTTCATTGTCTGAACATTGAGCATCACCAATTATATATATATATATATATATCACTCCAGTTTCCAACAATTTAATCTGCATGTCACAGAAACAAGCAGCCCCTTCTTAAGGACTGCAGGTGTTAAGTGTTGACTAAGAGAACAATACAAGGAATGTAGTCTGATTGGTGTTTGTTCCTAGCTATATTGGTTAAGGTTTGATTAAATCATGAAATGGTTTTTATTTTTTTGATATTTACGATAAATCTTTTCATGTACATTAATTTAGTGTATTTTTTTATATGTTGAATCTAAGATTTAAACTTTAAATTTATTTTTATGTGTTAATTCTAAAACTTGAACTCTAAACATAATTTATAAGAAAATACTTGTTTATTATTGAATTTAATATTTTATTAAATGATTTTCATAATAAAAAATAAGTAAAAAAAAATTCAATGGCTAAGATTTAATTCCTTAAAAAAATAGTAAATTTAAAAGTGATTATATTTCTGCATGAATCAAAAAAGGTGAACTTAAATTTGTACATATAAACTGATAAAAAAATATCACTTTACAACCATGTTTTATTTGTTTTTGACACGGAAAAAGTGACATGGAACCAAATGGTCTTAATCTTAAAGTCCAAGTAGGTACTTTGTTGGTCTAATTGGCATGTGAATGTGCACAAATAAATAATACTAACCTTTTTATTTATTTATTTTTAGAAACCTTTTTATTTTCAAAAGGCAAACTGATAGCTGGCATGCAATGGCACTGGAGTCCAGTCAGCAACTTTATCCTAAAAAGGCTTAAACCAGATCTAAAACAGATCAGCTTGAAACTTTAGCCCTTTGCCAATGTGCTTTTAAAAAATAATTTATTTAACATGTACGGTAAAGATTTAGTTTTAAAATATTTTAAATATATATTTTATAAATTTATATTAAAAATAAAAATTAATTTTTAATTTATTAATTATCTAATTAAATTATTTATTTAGTATTAATACTAAAATTAATATCAATTTTTATATTTTTATATATATTTATAATAAAAAAAAACTCTTAACCTATATTTTAAGAGTACATGTTAAAAAAAAAAAAAAACCTTTAAAAAAAAAGATTAAAAGAAATTATGCAGGTTGGACTACATTTGTCAACACTGATAGTCCATATATATCAGTTTGATCCTTTCTTCTCTTGCATAAACTCCATTCTGTCATTCACAAAACAAAATCTTTAAGGGCTTAAGGTATCAATCCACTTCAAAACGGTAGATTGGAATATCAAAGTTTTTCAGAGAAAAAAAAAGGGTTCAAATATTTACAGTAATCATATTTTCATTTGTGCCCTAAAAAAAAAAATAAATAAATAAAGGCACCCTTCTGGAATAACTGGAAATGAGGTTGATTTATTAGTTTTCTTTTATTAGTTTTTTATTTTAATTCTGATGTACCAATAAAAAGAAATGAGGTTTGATTTGGTTTGTAGATGGGCGGCTTTCTTGGGTATGTAAAAGGACCGAATATTAACTAGTGATGGGCCTACCACTTAGTCACCAACTAATCTAAATAAACTCATTCTAGTCATGGCTAGTTTTGGGCCTATCCTAATGCCTTGTATTTTAAATAATCAACTAGTGATGGGCCTACCACTTAGTCAGTCTTAGTCACTAACTAATCTAAATAAATAAACTCATTATAGCCGTGGCTGGTTTTGGGCCTATCCTAATGTCTTGTATTTTAAATAATCTAACTAACTAGTGATGGGCCTACCACTTAGTCACTAACTAATCTAAATAAATAAACTAATTACAGCCATGGGGTTGATTCAAGTTAAGGGAGAGGAATTTAGAAAAAATGAGTGGATTATTATTTTTTTATAATTTATCATTACATGTAATAAAAAATAAATGCATTACATAAGCACCTGTGACTTGAGAACATTGTGATAGAAAGATGGTTAGTAGTAATAAAAAATTATGAATCAATTACTAGTTTCTTTGACATGATCTGCTCTAGCATCTTAACAACCTCAGCCATGGCAGGCCTGTTAGCGGGTTCTGTTTCAAGACGCATTAATGCAATCCTGAATACATTGTTTATCTCATCAATGGAACAGCACAGCACCTCATGCCACATCAGGTGAGAGCTTGTTTGCTCGTGAATGGTATAGTTAAGTATTATTGTTTTGGCCACGTCAAGTGCATAGCTGGCGGTACACAGACGACACCTGTTTAGTCTAAATCTTGTTGTTAGAGCTGTGATGTTTCCATGCCAACCGGATATGCATCCAAAGTTGGTTGCGCTGATATCCAATTTGGACGTGAAAGAATGAAGTGTATATAAATTCCGGCCAAGTAATATATATAGGAAAAAGTGACTGTTAGACTTACTTCCTAAAGATTGGAGGAAAATCATCCTAAAACTACGTCGTTTCAATAATTTTTTATTGAAAAAAATTAAATTATCTTATTTTTAAAACATGCATTAAGGTGATATTTGTTCTTTTTCCTCTTAATTTTTTAAAAATAAGGCGAACAAATACTAACCCTATATATATATATATATAAACCTTCAACTTTATTAATTAATAATGGGTGGAATGAAAACTAACATTTCTTAGTATTAAACAACTACGGTGAAATGAAAGCAGGCGTGTCACCCACTTGTACGAGTGCGGTTAGGCGCTAAGGTTGGGTGGGCTTTTTATTATTCGACTGTCGCTATATTGCTACCATAAATATTGTTGGAAAATGGATATTGTTTTTTTAGTTATTATCTTATTTTTTAGTTATTATTTTTATAATTTAAAAAATTTAAGTTGTTTAGGTTGTTATAATTTAAAATAAATTAGATAAATTTAATTAATTATTTTTTAATAAAATTATCTTATAAAAATTATTTAAAAATTAATTTATTTTTCAATTTAACGTAATTTAGATTTTCATTCTATTTTCTTCTTTTTATCAAGAATTCTTGATTTTTAACCTTTGGTATTAGAGCCTGTTCCCGACAGATTCCATGGTTTTCAAAAATTATATCAAACCCTCAATACCTCGTTTTAATAGTCATCACCATTGTTGTCAAAATCACGAGTTATCTTGTAAACTCGCACGATTTTACGTTCTTAAATGAGTCAGATCGTCCATAAAATCGGGATTTCGTGAACTCGTGGTGGACTCGTCGTGAACTCGTAAAATTGTTTGAAATCGGATGAACGCACGAGCTTACAAAACCTGAACTTTTGCATTGGGTCTCACTGGATCGGCACTAGATCAGCTTTGAACTTGCCACCCATGCTTCTAATTTCAGGTGTTAACTTCCCTCTGTTTGATTTAGAAACTCTTACTAATGATCTGTTTCCAAAAGGAGCAAAGAAACATGGAGAGAGGAAGCTTAAATGGAGCAAAAATGGAAGAAATCTATTGCCCAAAAAAAGAACAAGGATGAAAGAGTAAGCCAGGTTGAAAGGAAAGCAAAGAAGGATAAAATCTACTGCAAAGAAAAGGAGTAGATAAGGAGAAAGGGAGCTTGAATGGATCAAAAATAGTAGAAAAGAGGGAAACCGAAAGTGATGAACTGACGAAGGAGAAGGGATTTAGGGGTAATTATCCTAAATCTTAATAGAGATTGTGTTGATGGCTCGCATTGGGATGTGGGATTGGGTGTGTATGTTTTCTTTTTACTTTTTTTTTTATTTTACTTTTAATTTTTGAATAAAAAAATGAATGTGATTTAATTTAAAAATTAATTTCTCTTTTTAAATTTTTTTATATTATCACATATTATAACATTAAAATTTAATTTTTATTAGAGTTATTATAAACTTTAATCTTATATTTGATTTTTTATTATTGAATTTTAGTTATATTAATATAAAAGTATAGATTTTTATTATTTATTTATTAAATTTAATAAACTCTCGATTTTATCGATTCGATTTTACGATTTCAATTTTATCTTACCAAAACGATTTTAGCTAAAATCTCGATTTTGACAACCTTGGTCATCACTATGACGATTGGAGTATGTTAATAGATAATTTTCTCTAGTCCAAAGAGTATTGGACTATTGTTGAAGCTAAAGTTCCAAAACTAGCGACAGGTGCAAATGATGCACAAAGGGTAGAAATTGAGAAGGAAAAGTTGAAGGATCTCAAGGCTAAGAACTATTTGTTCCAAGCCATTAATCGAGCTATCTTGGAAACAATTCTTAACAAGTCTACTTCCAAGATTATTTGGGATTTCATGAAGAAGAAGTACTAGGGCAATGAAAGAGCAAAGTGGTAACAGCGCCAAGCTTTGCGGGCAAAATTCAAAAGTCTATAGATGCAGATTGGTGAATCTGTAGATGACTATTTTTCAGGACGATGGCAATTGCAAACAAGATGAGGATCCATGGTGAAAATCTAGAGGATGTTGCCATAGTTGAGAAAATCCTTCGGTCCATGACAACAAAATTCAATTATGTTGTTTGTTCAATTGAGGAGTCAAATGATATTGAG